CCTTTCGAAAGATGGACCTTTCTTTCTGGTCTACCTTTCGAAAGATGGACCTTTCTTTCTGGTCCACCTTTCGAAAGATGAACCTTTCTTTCTTCAGGAGCAAGCTGGTCCACCTTTCGAAAGCGCTCGAGTTATAGGGTTTTTATCATTTTGTATCAAGACTTATTGAACCTCGGTGTTTTTCTGACATCCTGAATCTATTGTTAAGTGTCATTATTTTTTTCACTTGGTCAGGAAATCATCTCTATTATGTGTAATGATAGGATAAGATATCGAAAAAAAAGGGGGAGTTATAAATTCTGAAATCAGTGTAGCGCTTGCTGTTTATCATCTATTTTCGCGTTAGTTTAAGGGAATAATAAGTTTCATAAGATCTCTGCAGTTAACTTAAGGATTTCGACAGGTCGTGTGGGCTGATACTTATAAAGTAGGATGTGGCTACACTCATTACTACAAAAACGGAAAATCCATGAAGCTCTTCGTGTGTAATTACGGGCCAACGTAAGTAAACCCTTTTGAGTTTATTTTAGCTATAAGCGAAGTTTGGTGTTTCTTCTGAATTTCAAGGTATTCGTACTCGAGTATTCTGAAAGGTAGCCTATAACGCAAAACGCTTGAGGTTTCTTAAATCTCGATGTTATTTTTTTAGTGATAATGGAGCTGCTGGAGGATCTGAAAGTAACTGAAACTACTGATGCATCTATTAGCTAACCATCAAACAAACAATTTTATCTTTAAGTTTGCTTCAGCCTCCAGGGCGCTGAAACCTGTGATGCATTTGCTTCACCAATAATTTTTCTCTGTTTTTCTCTGAAGCCAATTTTTGAATAACTTTATGTGTTTGTAATTAAACACAAAACTACACAATGGGCGATCTATGCTCTGCCCACCACCGGTATCGAAACCCGATTTCTAGTGTTGTAACTCCTCAAACATACCGTTGTGCCACTGGGGGTTATTAACTTTGTTCCTGGACGATGTTAAACGCCATCAATATTACCTGACGGTCAAGTATTGTCACTATAAGATTAACTTTAAGGGCTTGGTTCCTGCTAATCTGTGTGCTATATGTGCTCATTGTATACTTATATATCAGTACATAACGGAATTCGTGCCCATACCTAGATGTATTATAATGTGCAGCAGCAATCTGACACCAGATGCTTGTAATTTTAAATCATGCCGTAAATAATTTTTCGTCTTTTGTATTGTCACTTGTATTGTAAGTAGTAATAGATAGCAAGCATGTGCAGTGAAACATTTAATTTAGAAACGTACCAGCGGACTACCAACACTGGAGTAGTGTCCAAATGTTATGTTGTGGTAACCATAAAATTAATACAAATTTAAAAGTTAATTTCTGTATCAAAGGAAGTTTTCATTTTATTATGGTTCTCTGCCCCATTACTGTAAGTTTGCTTCTGGCGCTCCTCGTCCCCCGGTGGGTTAGCCGTAATATTACGGACTTCCAACGCTAAAATCCGGGATTCGATTCCCCACAGTGGACAGAACGAAGGTAGCCTATTATTTGGCATTAAGCTGAAACAAACCGGCGTCCCCGAGTTATCTGGAAGTAATTTAAACGGTATATTATTCATAATTGGTTGAGAGAAAATCCATAATTTATAAGAAATCTAGAAAATATCAGGATCCACAAGTGTATGCGAATGAAATCTAACTTCCCACATAAGACTAATAAGTTACCCAACTAAACATTGCTAAAATTATTATAATACCCGAAACTGAATGTTATAGGATTGTTTTTGTTTTTAGAATTTCGCGCAGAACTGTTCCTAATTTAAAAGTGATAGACTAGATGAAAGGCGGCTAGTCATCACCACCCACCGCCAACTCTTGCGCTACTCTTTTACCAACGAATAGTGGGACTGACAGTCACATTATAACGCCTCCCCACGGCTGAAAGGGTGAGCGTGTTCGGTGACGGGATTCAAACTCGCGACTCACAGATTGCGAGTCGAGCTCACTAACCACCAGGCCATGCCAGCCCGAACGTTATAGGAGAAATTGGAATAAAAAAAACATCTTGGTTTGGTTACCCACATTTCTGAATTACCCTTCACAACTTTAAGATTTGGTTTGGTTATCTTAAAGTTGTGAAGGGTAATTCAGAAATGTGGGTTTTGGGAGTCAATATCTTATCACACTTTATTGTTATTTGTGGTCAAACAAGTAAAAATATGGGATGTTTTTTTTCTTTTTATAAAACCACAGGTTTCAGAATGTACTCTGCCATTTTCTAAAGTTCTTGTTGTACATGATGAAGGCATATCATCAAATTTGCTAGAATACGTGTGATTATTTATGTTTGATTTAAGAGCTCGTAGACCAATTACAATCATTTTTTATTGCTCAGGACTTGATACGTCTGAAGAAGGTTTTATCACTTCTACTGTACTACATAAAACCTGATGTACTTGCTACTATTACGTTTGAGAGACTACATTTAATCTAATGGTTATTCGTCACTAATTTATGTAGCACCTATTATACATCTGATGTTCAGCAGTACCATTCATACATCCCCAGCTCAGTACTGCCGCTTCTCGGTGGCTCAGCGGGAAGTCTATGGGCTCATAACGTTAAAAATTATGTACTACCTATTACCTGTTCAGCAATACCCTGTATGCATCGTCAACTCAGTAATTCCGCTCCCCGCTGGATACCCGTAATGGGCACGACACAAATAGCTCATTCTGCAGCTTTAGGCTTAACAACAAACAAACGGTAGTACATTTTCCTCAATTAATTCGTAGCTTTCATACATTTCCCACTTAGCAGTAAATTTCGTACATCTTTTTCATTTCACTACTACTATTTCTTACGTTTTCCACAATTCAACGGTATCTTTTATACATTACAAATAGAGTAGTACTTTCAGACGTCATTTCCAGTTCAAAAGTACTTTTCATACGTCGTTTCCGGTTCAGAAGCACTTTTCATACGTCATTTTCAGTTCAGAAGTACTTTTCATACGTCGTTTCCAGTTCAGAAGTACTTGTCATACGTCATTTCCAGTTTAGAAGTACTTTTCATACGCCGTTTATAGTTCAAAAGTGCTTTTCATGCGTTTTCAATGCAATACTTCCTATGTTAGATGTCTAATTGAGTAATAACCTTCATAAGTCCCATATTCTTTAGTGCCTTTTAAACATTTCCTCTATTCATTGTAATAGTTAATCTATAAAAAAGTCATGTTTTAACTTATTAATGCTCCAGTTTTGTTTGAAACTGAAAATAGTTAATAACCACAATTATTACGTGAAATAACCATCCTAAAATATTTAATATTCAATTCTGGGTTTGAAAATGGAAGTTTCTTTAAAACTTCTGAATTCTTCTTACTTTTGGACTAATTTTAGTATGTATCTGTTCTTTCAAGTATATATATATATATATATAAGTCTAGCTTTTTTCTTTTATTTCTCGAATACTATTTTAAGTCTAGTTTTAAGCCGAGCTATGTCAATTTGACAAAACCTTTAACAAATTTACTCAAAATGATTTTTTGCTTCTCAGAATCTTACACAAATAATTTCATTTATAAATACAATACGAATAAATGTACTGATAGTTTGATTCATTTATCTAACCTAGGAAAGATAAAATGTTGAATTTTTCTAGGGGTAATGTTCTCAGAGATGCTATGTACAAACAAGGTACATCCTGCAGCGAATGTCCACACGGTACTTCATGCTCAAGAAACTACCGAGGGTTATGTGGTAAATATGATGACAGGTTTTGTGTGTTTACCCTTGTCTCGTTTGTTTCTTGAATAAAATGATATAAGTACGTAAAAAATATTAAGTTTAATTTTTACGAAAACATTTAGTGTTTTCAGATAATCAATTAAAACAGTGTTTCCCAAACTTTTTTTGGCCACGGAACACTTTTCAGCTGAGAAAAAGCTTACTGAACACTAGACAGATGAAATGCCGGTGTAGAGGATATGTTGCGCACGTAACGCCCTCTACATTTGCATATTATTCATTTATTTATTTAATCAAATTACATATTAATGAATTTTTACATTTTTATGCTTATAAAATATTTTAGATACAAACGTCTCCACTAAGATATTGTGTAGAATAGATATGGCATCTTCTATAATTCTTCTTCAATGCGAAATCGATATTATCTAATTATAATACATGGAAAAATATTTCATAATAAGTTATGATCGTACAAAAAGTGTTAAATATGTTATTAAACTTTAAAATCATGATTTTTCTCACGGAGCACCTATCAATCTCGGACGGAACACCAGTGTTCCTCGGAACATAGTTTGGGAAACGCTGGCTTAAAATATTAAAGACTGTGGAAAATCAAATATTTAGATTGTAAATATTGGCACACAGTTATTAATATACACATAATTAACAAATTACTTTTCTGATTATACCATAGAAAATTTTCAACTTTTCACAATAATTAATTGTTTTTGCGTATTTGGTGTTATTAATTATGCATATTAGATAATTTTTTCATATAATTATGTCAGCTGTAGATGCTGAACCACCAATCAGAACAGTAGCGCCACCTGTTGTTATACCATCTGTCAGACAAATACTGTTCGTCTGTGATTTCAAAACCGATAGAGGATGCGGTGTTAATCATATTGCAGGAACTCCGTGGACAAGAATAGAAAGTGGTCCCTATGGTAAAATACAACATAATTCTTATAGTAACAATTGATAGTGAATTTAAGGGTATATACACTACTATAGGTAAGAAAAAGTAAGTTTTAATTTTTTAATGGGTATCCTTAATCCAATATTTCATGATATATTTAATATTTACGGGGAAAAAAAATAAGTTTTTCCATTAGCGCCTCGTTTTTCTCATTTCGTTTTGTAGGCGGCCATTTTGAAGTTGAGATTAAACGTGGTGAGAGCAGCGACATCTTACTGTCTGAAATGGCACAAATACCAGCTGGAGAAAGAAAGGCCTGTTTGGGTTTGAGGTATAAGAAACACCCAACTGGTAGGAATGAAGTTCTTCTGCCTCCCCTCAGAATCTTTACATTATCACCTGATAAAGGCGTCTCTAATTTTTTCATCAAGGAAGACAGCAGGGAGTGGAAAAGATCCTTTTTCTCAATAGTTACTGATGGTGCTGTTTTCGTAAGTAAATTGTCTTCGGCGGTACTATAAAACTTTCTTACTATGGTAAAATAACAGCTCTTTCTCTGAAGAAAAAAAGAAGTTCACCAACAATTATAAAAATACTTTAGAATCATTTTAAAATTCTATGAACTATAGTGACGAAGAGTATTTCTCCAGTGAGTAACCCTAATAATAAGACACCATTGTTTTTATCCTAATTTACATGAATGGACCAACTCTGACTCAAAAGTGAAATTTTGTTTCGTGAGAACACGGCTTAATTATTCACATCAGTTCCAATAAAAAACATGCCACCCAGTGGCACAGCGGCATGTCTGCGGACTTACAACGCTAGAAACCGGGTTTCAATACCCGTGGTGGGCAGAGCACAGATAGCCCACTGTGTAGCTTTGTGCATAACTACAAAACAAACAAACCAATAAAAATAACAACATTATAGAAAGCATATAAGTTAACCATGTTAAATAGCTATTTTTATTGAATGATATTTTTAGTAGACGAGTATATTTAGTAAATTAAAAAAAACGCACATTTAACTACTTCTCTTTAGGAAGTATATATTGTAATGAGTGTGATTAATACTTACTTTGATTATGAATACGAGATTTGTTCCATGATATTGCAACATAAATCTGTAAATACCACATAACGCTACAGGAGTAACTTGGCAGTGCGTGGCCTAGTTGTTAGTATGCCCGAACTGTAAATCCAAGGTTTAATGGTTCTCGACCCGTTGTCGCTAAACATATTTCACATTTTGGAGCCGTGAGTGCATTACAAGAGTGACTGCCAAATTCTAATACTTGATCCGACGAAAGTAGCCCAAGAATGTGGGGGGGGGGGACTGTTAACTAGCTGCCTTTCTTGAAACGTATAAGAAGAAATTGAGATTAGTACTGATTGAAAATAATTTTGATTACATTTTGTGTCCCTATAGCGCAGTGGATAGCGCGTTGGATTTCTAATCCAAAGGTACCGGGTTCATTCCTTGGCAGGGATGCCACCATTGTCTGGTCCCAAGTCTAGAATGAGAAAGGAGGTTGGGCGCGAGGCTAGCAACTCCGCCCCGTAAAAACAAAACTGCTAAAAAATTACTGCAACAACAACTTCCGTCGGCGAGGTGTTGTTGGGGCCCTATGCTCCAGTGGGAGTCTACAGGGATTATTATGACTACATTTTATAGGTTGAGAAACTGTAAAACGGGGCTGTTAATTTAAGATTTGTTGGGTTCTTAAGCAAAATGTTCAAAGTTCCAAGATTCGTGCTAACGATATGACGTTGAAAATGATCCGGACTTTCAGCTGTGTATGCGTTATAAGAGTGACAGTAGCTGTCTAGGCGGCGCGTGCTGTAGACTGATTGCCCTTCTTCAGGTTAGTAGCTCTAAGTAAGTGATGGACTTTGACGTGACCGTTTACTTTACTTATCACAGTCACATAAGTTGAATATACGAAGTGTCATATGCAAAAGCACGACTAAAATCGGGTGAGGTTATGTTATAAAAGTGACAGTCAATCTCTTAGCGTGGATGTTAGATGGTAAAGTATTACTGACTAGTTGCCTCAGTAGCTTTGTCATGAATATAATATGTAATACAAATACGAGTATAATTTCCTAAAATGTACGCTCTAAAGTTTTTGTCCCTTTTGAATGTTTCTGAAAATTACTTGTCATTTAGAAACTCATCTAGATTTTTCAATATAACTAATTTACTTTTATCAGAAAAAAATCATCTCTTGTGCCAATTAGAATTCTGAAATATCGCAAATCTTGTGTTTTTCCTCACGTTTACAAAAATAAGGTAGACCTGGCATGGCTAGGTGGCTAGGGCACTCGACTCGCAATCTAAGGGTAGAGGGTTTGAATCCCAGTCTTTCCGAATGTCCTCGCCCTTTCAGCCGTGGGGGCGTTATAATGTGACAGTCAATCCCTTTATTCGTTGGTAAAAAAGTAGCCCAAGAGTTGGCGGTGGGTGATGATGATTAGCTGCCTTCCTTCTAGTTTTTCATTGCTAAATTAGGGACAGTTATCGTAAAAAGCCCTCGTGTAGCTTTGCGCAAAATTTCGAAACAAATAAGAATAAGGTTAATTTGGTTTTAGCACAGAAATAATAAGCTATCGGGGCTTTATTCTACGAATCCTAACGCCTAGTAGGGGGACAAATAGAAGTAGTATGTGCCACACTATGACATTAAATTTGATATGGCAGAACTCTTTGAATCTTCAGAAATACATGATTATACTGCTATTAAAAACGACCCGGCATGGCCACGTGGTTTGGGTGCTCGACTTGCAATCTGAGGTTCGCGGGTTCAAATCCCTGTCCCACCAAACATGCTCGCCCTTTCAGCCGTGGGGGCGTTATAATGTGACGGTCGTTGGTAAAAGAGTAGCCCAAAAGTTGGCAGTGGGTGGTGATGACTAGCTGCCTTCCCTCTAGTCTTACACTGCTAAAGTAGGGACGGCTAGCGCAGATAGCCCTCGTGTAGCTTTGCGCGAAATTCAAAAACAAACAAACAAGCTATTATAAACATATTCAAATATTGTTTGTTTTTAATTATGCACAAAGCTACACAAGGGCTATCTGTGCTCTGCCCACCACGGGTATCGAAACCCGGATTCTAGCGTTGTAAGTCCGCAGACATACCGCTGTACCACTGGGGGGCTTCAAATATGGAGCTTATTTTTTCACATTAAAAATAGCCTTTAAAACTATGAAGTATAGAACAATCAGTGAATAAATGGCAGCATGATATTAAGTAAGAAGGTAAAAAAAATGTTTAAATTTTTATACACAGAAATAATAATGAGCAGTCTTACTTCATGTATTTCTTATCATCATATAATCTTTAGTTGAAGATATCCCCCCCAGAGGGTGTTAATCTACCTTAGTATATTTCTTGGTTTAAGTTTTTATGGACAAAGTTTATCAAGGATAGGTGCTGAATATGAATCTTTTTATCATTTATCTTTTTCGGTGTACAAAACTTGAAGATAGCTTTTATATGTGGAAACATCTGTTAGATGAGTTCTTGCACAGATCTTAAAATATAACGTTAATAAACGGAAACATCGACACATGTGGATATGTAGATCTTGAAAGTCGAGTTGTTCAAAACCATGCTACAACCATACAGAACCTTAGCTTTGACCCTAAACAATCGTTTTTGTGCTCCTTCGACACCAGCAGCCTGTTTACTAATGTGCCCCTGGAAGAAACCATCAAAATTTGTGCAGATACTGTGTATGGTGGAGAAGTTCAGTGCCCTCCACTACCCAAGGACCTGTTTATTGAACTGATGAATACTGCGACACGTTCGGTGAAATTCAGCTTTATTTTCGTTGGTTTCCATGAAAAAGAACTATTCAACAAAGTTACCAGACCTGCTGTTTACTTCCGTTGTGTAGATGACACATCTGCCATTTTTAAAACTGAACAGGAATGTGAGTGTTTCTTACAAGATCTAAACTCGTTGCACTCGGCTCTCAAATTTACTTTCGAAAAGGAACAACATAACTCTTTACCGTTTCTAGACGTCTTAGTTGAAAAAGATGACTTTCGTTTTCTCACCAGTATATACAGAAAACCTACGTTTACAAGACAATACACACGATGGGATTCTTTCAGTCCTAAAAGTTGCAAAACTAACCTTGTTGCTACTTTAATCCATCGGGCTCTAGTTATCTGTTCAAAATCCAAACTAGATTTTGAATTGAAGACAGTTAAAACTATTTTATTAGAAAATGGGTATCCAGAAAACGTCATCAATGAAATTATTTCAAGGAAAATTGCGAGCTTCTCAACTGCCCAAAAATTTGGTAACAATAAGTGTCCTGTTTACCTAAAACTACCATGGATTGGTAACATTTCAACAAAATTTGAAAAACAGTTTAAAATGGCCATCACTAAATGTTTTCCTGCTGTGAACCCCTACTGTGCTTATTCCACACGTAAGGTGTTGCCTGCAACACACAAAGATGCGATTCCTACCACACAGAAAAGTATGGTTATTTTTGAATTCTCGTGCCACTGCGAATGTCGGTACGTAGGTCGCACTTCACAAAGACTGCAGGATAGAATTAAACAACATCTACCCACATCCATAAAAACTAAGAGTGTGAAAGAAAAAAATTTACCATATCGCTCCTGTAAAACAAAAGTTCTACCACCAAAATGTGAATCAGCGATTGGCCAGCATTTACTAGTGAACCCGACTTGTGCTGACAACTATACGGATAGCAGATTTAAAATTATTGCAAATGGTCTGTCAACCTTTCATCTCTATATTTTGGAAGCCACCTTTATTAAAACACATAAACCTGTCCTTTTCCACGAAAAAGAATTCCCATACAATCTACACATCCTTCAGTAGGTCTGTGACATTTCCTGATTGGCTTAAGGACTTGCCAATCAGTGATTGCCTTACCGGCCTACGTTGATCTGACTCATTTTATAAGCTGTACTATTTCCTATAGATCATTTTCCAGACGGTTCTGCTATGATTCGTGTCTGGCGAAAAGCTTCAGCAGATATTTCCTTCACAACATCTCAACCAACAATTGGTCCAGTTATCAACGCTATTTTCAAGTTTTGAACAACTCGACTTTCAAGATCTACATATCTACACGTGCCGATGTTTCCGTTTATTAACGTTATATTTTAGATCTGTGCAAGAACTCAGCTAACAGATGTTTCCGCGTATAAAAGCTATCTTCATATATACATATGTTAATCCTATATGTCTATTACAAAGCTGTTTGGATTATTTTGTCACCAGAGAAGATACAACTAAGTAGCCTTGCACTTCTCTTCTCTTGTACAACTTTCAGGTTCGATTCAAATTTCATCCAAACTTTATTAACTTTCAGATTGGCTTTCACTTTACCTTGCCTTCCCGGACTTCTTCATCCAACTACATCGTGGGGATCGACGATATTTATATTACAAATGGCGCTTGTTGAGGGAAAAATATTCTGGTGATAAAGGAAGATAATTTATCTTGTTCATCAATAGGACGAGTTTTAAGTGTAGTAGGAACTATTCTTCATTGTTTGTGCATTGAGAAAGAAAAAATAAAACGTGTTGCTTCTTTGCTTATCATCGTAATTATGGTTACCTGCCTATTTGTCTATCTAACATTAAGGAAAATCTTATAAGCGACTTCATTGACTGGTTGAAATCACATGTATGCAAAACAAGTGATATAAAAATATTACTATAATGGGGGAATGGTGAGGCCATCTATCTATCTATGTATGTGACCAAAATAATACATACAATAGTGTCATCTATTGTGCTGAAATACAATAAGACTTCAATGACAGAAGTGGTGATTGAGGCACATCAAATGTAGCGCCATCTATTGCTAGAGATATAAAAGCTCTTTTCGTAAAATAAATCGAAATGAAATTACCAATGGTTCAACATAACCAACAGTAGAAGCAACTAATAATGTGAAAAATATATGCGCGTACGTATATCTACTTATAAGCATATGCAATGGGTAAAATGCGGGAATATGATAATCCACAATATATTTCGTTATGTAGCAACTCTCTTTCTCTGTGTCAAACCTTTAAAGCTGGTTTGATATTTTAGAGTAAAAAGAATCTATCTTTATATATATATTTGTCTATGTGAATAACAACGTTAATGTGCTAAAATGAAATATCCGATTTATTTTAAAAGAAGCGTGCATATATCTTTACCAATCACTGGACACAAAGCTCACACCAGGGACGGAAACATTTAAAAAATGGCGATCACTTTTCACTGTTTCTAGAACCACAGTCCATTCAATAGTCTTACGGATACGTGCGTTCCATATAACCTCTCAAAACATAGTAAAAAAATACACAAGAACCTTTTTTGGAACATACTTAACTAATGATAAAAGTTTTATTGTTAACTTTTGTTCTGTACATCAATGAACTTTACCGACAATCTTGGTGACAACTATATTATTGTATATAGAAGTGTCGTGCGACCAAACTTTGTGTTTGTTATACAACTTAATATTTCATTTAAATCACTTCATACAAAATAGCAATATCAATAATAACGAACGTTAAATATATCGGTAATAACGATAATATATAATAATAAATAATAACGATTAGCGATCCTAGATACCATACATTATATAATTAACTTTAAACATTTTTGTGGATATAAAATCTAAATAACAACATGTATAACTATATAACACTAGCAAAAAATCAAAATATTTCCTCTGCACTATATCACGCTGCCTCTGGCGCTATATTATATGATATACTGATAACGTACTCTCTCCCCTTCTGAATCATAATTTCTGAACTCATCAGAAAATCTAGAAGAGAATTATTTTCTTTAGATATTTCTTTTTTTTCTCCTTCTTAATTTCGACAAGTCGATATTCTACTCAGGTTCTATTACTAGTTTTATTGGCTAAGTTACTCTTCCACGATGGAAAGAGGAAAAAGCCTACGACTTTGGATACTTTTTTTTGAATGAGGGATAATCATGAAAAACATTTTATTAGAAAAGCAAATACGAACTTACATGCGCATAACTATTGTATTCTTATTAGTGCAAGTTTGTGTCTTTATGTCTTTGCTATTATTTCAAGGACCCGTTAATTCTTATTCTAAGCAACGGTTAAAATGTACGAATAGGCCTAAAAAAGCTATTCGAATTTTGAAGATCCGATTTGAATTTCAAATAAAGTCACTACAATGAATGTCTTTAAAGGTAGATGTCTGACATGAAATGTTGAACGAAAGCACGTCTATCATATACAGTAACAATGACAAGTTCTGAAAATTATTAAAATAACAATAAAAAAAGTTCAAAACATAATTACAGTAACAATCAAAAGCCCAAAAGCTACTACAGTAACAACGATAAGTCAGAAAATAAGTATAGTAATGATGAAAAGTTCAGAAAAATTATTTTCTTATTTTAAATTCAGATTTAACTCACTGTAAATTTCATGTAAAATAAATCGCACAGTAAAATGTGATTATTAGTCTGATTAACATAATTAGAAATAAATTATTCTTACAATAGATATCACACTTTAAAACGCAATCAAATATTATATCATCTGATGTCTGTAAAATTTCAACTGTCTTCCACTTTTAAGTTTTCTCAAATTGTATGTAATTAGGTCATTGTTGCTGCCCAGGGGGTTCGAAACTCGTAATCTTTCTGTAAAAGAAAAAAACATTGCGGTGTTTGAAAGCATTTCATTACAGCCTAATGCCTAAAGCTAGTTAGGAGATAAAGTACAAAAACAGAACTAAAGCATCATGACAAATAGGTAGTTTCATTTAATTATTAGAGATTAGTTAGTAAGCAAGAATATAATCTAGATTGAAACTTAAATTCTACCTGTGTGGTATTCTCAGATACATTGATTCCCCTTAAGAGTAATATATAACTGGAGGCTCGAGTAGAAAATGTTGTGCAAAATTAAACTATATTATCTGACTTTGACTGAGTTGTGAAGAATGAAAGAGACTGGACACAGTTTATAACAATGCGAGAAAAGATCTGTGAAGGAAATCTGCCAAATTGTTTTAGACTGAGAAAACAAAGCATTATATACACTAAAAATGATGCTTGCACCACCTACACCACTGATGGTGATTCCTATTGAAAAATTAAGAGGGGTTGAACCGCAAGGTATCACCTGGCCTACCAGTGGAAAATACTTTTTATACAGTATGCTCAACTTTACAAAAATATTTTCCATGAGAAGACGCACGTACTATGATAAGTAAATTATCCAGTATGTGAGCAAAAGGAACTTTGATACTTCCTTGACCAACGTTCTATGGTTAAAACTATATACACTTGTATGCGTGAAAAATTTTAAAACTTTATGAAATAAAGCGGGTAAAAACACCTTGTATTCATCATACTACATATTTTCTCTCCACTTTGCCATCAGATCATGCGCATTGTAACGTATCTCACCCATGTAAAATACTTACACCGAAGAACAAAGAGAGAACATAACTTTGTTTCTTGTTTTTGTTTGTTGTTAAGCACAAAGCTACGCAAAGGACTATCTGTGCTCTGCCCATCACGGATATCGAAACCAGGTTTACAGCGGTATAAGTCCGCAGATATAAAAAAAAAACTGAATACAAGACAATAAAATGTTAACACTGAATGACGTATATAAAATTAAATAAAGCTTTGACGTTAAATCCTACATGCAAAATGAACCCTTTTATGAAATGAGAAGCACAAAACAGAATGTTTTTTTCTTTCCAAAATTGGATGAAAGTACAAACTAAAATACCCTGTTTAATAGTAAACACAAAATAGGGAAAAGCAAGGTATAAGAAAATGGTCCTTTAAGCATTGCATAAAAAAATGAAAAATAAACCCTTTGCAAAATACATATATAGATCAAAGGTTCTGATATTTGTACAAGAATACATATAGAAACAGCGGTAAATTTTCTGACTTACAACACAAAGACCTGGAATTCGATTCCCCACGATGGACACAGCAGATAGCCCGATGTGACTTTTGCTAAAAAAAAATAGCTAACGAACATACAGAAATAGAACATCGCACACACTACTGCATGAGCTATTTACACACCTACGTACAAACTAAACTTTT